CCACCAGCACCCCAGAGGGCTTCGTCCGACTCACAGAGAGCTTGCTGGAATTACAAGACATTTTAGAAGCTTCCTGGGGGAATGGGAACAAACACCCCCCAGAGAAGTGTACCTGGCACTTTTCTGAAAGCCGGAGCCACCTCTGCATGGGCTCCCAGAAGCTCCTGTCAAGCTGTCAGCATGTGATCAGAATGGACCAGTCCCCCGAAGAGATGCAGGGTGCCGTGCGTGACACCTTCCAGCACCTGGTCCAACTGGCTGGCCTGTGCTTCCAGTTCACAGACTGCAACCGCTGCTCCGCCCGGCACAGGGAAGCAGCGGGGAACCTGAGGGACGTGGTGTACACCTACTACCAGTTTGTAGAGGCCGCCAAGCTGACCTGCGAGAGAGGCTACCATGACCTGAGTGTTAAACTCTTGGCCCGTCAGTGCACGGCCCTCACAGCTGCCGTGTTCTGTTTGACACAGAAGTTCCGGGCATCCACTGCCTTGTGAGCAGGCTGGCTGCCCAAGTCCCCTGCCCTGGACACTTCCCTGAGAAGCCCCTTCCATTCTGCCACCCACTCTCTCAAATGTTTACTATTTAGAGCATTCAAATAAACTGCTGCTTAATCTTGACCTGAATCATACAGAGTGATATGATTTGTTTGGGTCAAAACATTCACTCATATTCATTCAACATACATTCACTGAATACCTGCTCTGGGCCAGGCCATGTGCTAGGAGCTTAGGATATAAAGAGCAGTAAGACAAGTCCCTCTCTGGTCAGGATGCTCACAGACTCACTGAGGATAAACAGATTACCATCAGTAAAGTGTGTATTCTAAAAGGAGCATACCCTGGGGGTGAGGAAGCAAGAAGTCACAAACTGTTCCAAGAAGGCAGAGATGAGCGAGGAAGGTGGGGGTTCACTGAAAAACATAATCTTTTCATACCACACTGACTTGGCAATAGCCTTTGCAAAAAGGAAAGAATACATGTGATATTTGATAGATTCCATCTTCCCAATTTTCGCTGTTCAACTCCGGTACTAGGAGAGCTGGTTCTTTTTGGTTGCCTTGCTGTAACAAGAACAGGTTACCACTAGGTGGCAGTAAATGCATTAGCTGCATGGCCACACTCATCCAGGTGTGCTCTAACTGACTTGGCAATAGCCTTTGCAAAAAGGAAAGAATACATGTGATATTTGATAGATTCCATCTTCCCAATTTTCGCTGTTCAACTCCGGTACTAGGAGAGCTGGTTCTTTTTGGTTGCCTTGCTGTAACAAGAACAGGTTACCACTAGGTGGCAGTAAATGCATTAGCTGCATGGCCACACTCATCCAGGTGTGTGTGCTCTGTGCTTTATCTGAAATGATTGCACCCCTTAACCTTGCACCCTATTTTTGTTTTAAATAACCGAAAAGGCAAACATTAAAGCCTTGAATTTTATTTGCCTTTTAAAGAATAATTTTAGAGCAAAGTAAATATATTCAGTAACTTTCTCACTAATCCCAGTTGAGCCAGCTAATTCCAGGTAATCTTGATGGGACCTTAGAAAAGCTAAGTCTTAATTTCTCAGTGCTTTGGCTTTCTCTTCTGTAAATTGGAGATACTAATGGCACCTGCTTTGTAGGGTAGAAATCTAGTAAATAACCTAGTAAATACTCAGAAAGTAATAAACCACAGCCATTATGAATGCCTCTCATAGTCTGAAATCCTTCCCCGCATTTTGTTTTCCAACTCCAGGAAAACTGATCTCAAGATACCCTTGGGATACTTTTTCATCTGGCTTCTCTGTCCAGGCCAAAGGTGGTTTAGACACTCACTCAAGGGTTCCCTCTGTTCCTCTGGTGCTCCTGATCAATTGTGAGCTCAGTGCTGCCTCTGTGGTTCCTAGTTCCTCTCCTTCACCCAGCAAAAGGAGGAGCAGAGATGGTGTTCAGTCACGTACCCAAGCTCTCCCCAATCAGAAGGCATAGAATACTTTGGGAGAAAAAGCATCCTTCCCATCTCCTGTTAGCAGTTACTTGTTAACTAGTAACCAGTTAACCAGTACTTTTGCCAAGAAAAGATTGATTTTCTTAGAAACCTGTTTCTTTTTCACAGAATACTTTGAATAATATTTAAATAAGCCTCTTGAATACAGATTTGAAGTGATTTCATGGCAATGGCAAATAGGAACCATAGGATACCAAAATAATAAAAATTGTATGAACTTGAATGCTTTTCTCATCAGAAAGCTAGGAATACTACATAATATTTATGTGAAAACAATCTATATGTTCACAAGTTTAGGGAAGGAGCTCAGGATTTCAATTCAGTCGAGGCTTGAATCCTGGCAGTGTTGTTATACGCCCTTCTCTCGGTCTCTTCCCCATCTGACAAAAGGAAATACTAGTCCCCATTTAGTGAAGGCCTACAATGTGCCAGAGGCCTTGAATACATTTTCTTATCGACAGCACTCCAGAGCAGAGATTGTCATATAATATACATTCAGCATTATTGTGAGTAATAATTATGGAAGGCAGGAAGAAGACAAGCCTCCAGCACAAGCCCTCGAATGTTTGTTTCCTTCTTTCTTTGCACCCTCTCCCCCCAAATTCATTAACTTTCTTGGGTTGCTATAGTATGGAGCTGGCATTTTGCTCTGCAGCTCCCACAAGGAGTACTAAGTCCCGAAAGTTCTGGGAAACCCTTCATTATTTGTTGAGACGCTAAAGTGCAAGGGGAGTTGTCCTGTTTAGCATTGTCTTTGAGATATACAGCCCCCCTACCTGAGATAGGCAGAGCGGGACTACCTGCTCCACAATGCAAGAGTCAATTGTTTAATGATAAACCACTGAACATTTACGTTCCTCTTTCCTTTTCCCACCCATCATCATATTGGCTGATTCATTTCTTTCAACAAATATTTATGGTACACCAATGCAGGTGATGCCTGATCCAGGATTATAGATGTAAATATTTGGGTGAGAATCCTGTCTTCAAGTGCTCTTGGTCCAAAAGATAAGATGACCTGTAGAGATAGAGACCTACAACATAAGGCATGGTGTGTGCTAAGGGCCACCAAAGAGAACAGATAAAGAGAGCTCAAAGGAGAGAAGCATCATTGGATGTGGGGTAGAGTAGTGATCAGGGAAGGCTTCCTGTAGGAGGCAGCATTAATTAGAACTAGTTCGTCAAAAGGTATTTTTGCGTAGCTACTGTGAGTCAAGTCCTGGATTTGACAGGAAGGTAAATTTTGAATGTGTCAAGAAAGAAAATTCATTTGTTTATTCTGTCAACAAATATTTACTGTGTAGTGGCACTGGGAATACAATTATCAACATGATGTAGTTCCCCCAATGAACTTATAATTAGTCTGAAAGTCAAAGAAAAAAAGTGATAGGTGATATAAAGAAGAGAGTGCCAAGATGGGGTAGGATGAGCCAGTCTTACCTTGGGTGATCAGTAAAGACCTCTCTGAAGAAAGTTAAGTTGAAGCCTAAAGGATAAGGAGCAAGACATGGAAAAAGTGAGAAGAAAAGGAAGAGTATCTTCCTTTGGTGTGGCTGAAGCATTTCAAGAAGACAGCTGCGACTAGAACAGTGAGCTGGAGGAAGAGCGATGAGGTTGGAAGAGCAGTCAAGAACCAGGCTACACAAGGCCTTGGGAAGGTTAGATTTTACATCCAAGTACAATGGGAAGCTGCTGAGGGGTGTGCAATAAAAGAGACACATAATTATTTGGCAAATGGATGGGGACTGGGTGGGACTGGGGGAGCAGGCAGTGAGACCAGCTAGGAGGCCTTTGCTGTGGGGAAGTAGCCACAAATGAGCTCATTCAAAACTGAAGAAACACAAGAACAGTGGCAGGGAGGGGCAAAAGGTATGCAGCACGGCTGAGTGCAAGAGGCAGGTACTGTTAGGTGTGGTAGGAGCCACTGAAGACCACTGGAGCCACTTTGCAAGCCCTGCTGAGTGGGAAGCCAGAGCAGCTTCTGAGCAGAGAAGAGAGACATTAGAACTGGGTTTTAGAAAAAGACTTCCGGGGGGGAAAGAATGTTTAGTTTTAGCATTTAAAAATTGCTCCAGTAGCAAATAAAGGATAGAGCATGGCTTAGGGACAGAGTGGGAGGTGTTGGCAGAGCTGTGGAAAGAAGAGTCCAGAGGGAAACAGTGAGAGACCAAGGAGGTATCCAACAGGGCTGTGGTTTCTTGGGTGGGAGATATTTCAGGCTCATTCATGGTAGGGTCTCTCTGAAAGGGTGAGACTTCTAGGACTGCAGAATAAAAGGGAGAATGATAGTTTTTATCAGGACAAGGCTTGGGCAAGTCACTTCAGGTGTCTGAGCCTCAGTTTTCCTGTGGATAAGTAAGGAGAGATGGAGAGGGAACAGTGGCCAGAGGCTAGACACTCCTTACCTGCTCAAGCCCGAAATATTTCTGTTGTGAGCCTGGACAGCCAGGTGAAAGGGAGTGTGTGCTCAGGTAATGGCTGTGTCAGCTCTTGGGCCCTGCTTGTTGTGGAGAAGCCCAAGGGAGGGCAAGGTCTCCAGGCTGCGAGATGAGGGGTGGTTCAAGTCTGGTTTCAGCCCAGTTTCGCAAGTCCAGTCCTTGATAGCCATCAAAGCTCCTGGTCACCTGCAGCAGCCCTGTGGGGGTCGTCTAACGGCTGGGACTGTAACCGCATCTAACAGTCAGGGAATGGGGCTCAGAGAAGTCCAGCAACACTTACGAGAGGACGCAGCTCTTTACCGCCAGGGTGGGGCTCAGAAGCCAAAGCCTCAGCTCCTGCACATGGAGCGGCCAGGGTGAAACCCACAATTCCCAGAAGGCCATTGGGGGGGAGGAACCGGAAGTAAAGACGGAGGCGGGGCCTGGTGTGCGCCGCTGCTGCGTGAGGTGACGGGATCAGGTACGCCCGGGGCTTGTGGGGGAGTGGGATGGTTGAAGGGGGATTGGGGGCGGGGTAGGGTTTAGGGTTGTCCGGCCCGTGCTACCGCAGCATTGGAGAGCAGGGAAGACGCTCGCGAAGCAGCGATTAACAGTCATGTGACTTGATGTCCCACGCCTTCTTGGTGCTTCCCCTCCCTGCTTCCCCTCGCACTCACAGCCTGTGGGCCAGGTGGAGCTCACAGGCGGGGTACTTCGCAGCCCGGAATCTAGGTTTTCTAGTCCTGAGGATGCTAGAAGGGTGGAGCCAGCTTCGGTGGACTAAAATTTAGAATGAGAAAATGAGGGAAGCGTGCAGAGACTGGTCCTCCGCTTAGAGCCCAGGGATGCGCTCATCAGGTGGGACTTGGGTTAGAAAACCCAGAGATGGGGGCGGGGACGGGATTTATTAATTCGGCAAGTATTGATGGAGCATGTGTTATGTACCAAGCCCTTTTCGAGGCGTAGACAACATAGTAGTGAACAAAGAAAACAGAACACTTGCTTACAGTGTAAGAATGGGGAGGTTCCGACAGAAAATAAGTAGAATAAGTGCCATGTTGGGTAGTGAAAATCTGAATCAACTGAGAAAGGTAATCATATAATTACCTAGGGGAATAGCATTGGAGGTACAAAGAACAGCAAGTGCAAAGGCCCTGAGGTTAGAATCCTTGGTATGTGTGAGGAAAAGCAAGTAGACCAGACAGTGCAGAGGACAATAGATCAGGGAGGTAGACCTTAATGATCAGTATAGGCCATTGGAAAAGCAAACTTTAGCTTAAGCAGAAAAATGAACAAATTTCAAATCTTAATTTTTTGCATTTTACTTTAAGAAAATTATACCCGAAAAATAAATTTAAAGGTCAAGGTAACTAACAGAAAAATGAAAGGTAATTTGAATTCTAATATTTCATATGGAGTCGATAAAATTCAAAGTTGTTGAATCAAGAAGTAATAAAAACAGTCACGGGGATGTAAAATACAGCATAAAGAATATAGTCAGTAATATTGTAATAACTATGTATGGTGCCAGATGGGTACTGGGGTGGTTACTTTCTAGGTTATATAAATATCTATTTATTGTGTTGTACACCTAAAATATAATGTATGTCAACTATAATTAGAAGATGTTTAAAAATAATTTTTTTAAAAAAATCAAAAATCAATAATGGTATAAGCATATGGTTTCAGGTTAAGGAGTCAATCACCAGAACTAAAACACCTGGTTAAGGGTTGCCACTAAAGGTGGAAGGGGTCAGAGTGAGGATCATTACTTTTATTATAAATAGATATTTTGACCATACGCATGGATCATATTACATAGATTTGCTTTTTCAAAGTTATTCCTTTTTCCTAAAATGGTGGTAGCACACTAGACTCGGAGCAGCCATGAGTAGTGATCAGTCCACTCTTCATGATACTTAACTGTAGACTGGAGTGTTTTATGCTCATATCTTTCTTGGGGATTTTGAACACCACTTTGAAATTGTGACATTCGTTAAGTGTGTTGTATCAGTGGTTTTCTGTATTTTTCTACCTCAGGACTTCTGAGGGATATTAAACATTCTCACTGGTGACTGTGGCTTTCTGCTGTGGTGATACTTAACTGAGTTGGGGCCGGGAGTACATAGCTTGGAAAAACAAATTCTGATACATCACCAGCAACCTTGAAGAATTCTTAGCTGGTTTTAGGCCACTCTTTACCATATTTTTTGGCTAGCTCTTCATCCTCCAAGGATGTGTCTAGTGCAGGACTTTACATATAGTAGGTACACAATAAATATTTGCTAAAGGAATGGTTATGAAAATAAACAAACATAAAGGAGGTGGCTTTTGCCCTCTCTGTCTCACCCTCAATTCATGCATTTCAAAGAACGCCATAAATGATTTGGTTTTCTGTGTCAGTGCAGCAGTGAATAAATCATTGACTGCTTGGAGGTGTCAGAAATTGTGCTTGTCTTCTAAGAAGTGGATTTGGCTCTCTTTCTGCTGAAATGTTTTTGCGCTGACTCATTTCTCTGGAAGACACATGCTTTTCAATAAATCCGTGTTAGTATTTTATATACTTCTCCTTCAGAAACACAAGAACACTATTTGTCACTTGGATATAGGGAAACACCTCTGTAAGTGAAATGATATAATGCCTTACATAATTGTGCTTTTTTCTAATCTGGGTGAAAAAGACAGAGAACTAAGCACATGGACTGGAAATTGGAAGGGAGTGCCCAGAAAACAGAGTCACATGTGCTGCAGGAGCAAGAAGGCATCCTAGAGGACACAGGCGAAGATGGCATCTCTGAAAGCTTCCAGCTTCTACAGATTGATGTGGAATGTGAGCTGCAAGAGGGAGAGACCCTGCCCACAGGCAGTGCAGTGTGGTGCTCGGTAAGTGCAGGGTTGCGAAGAACATGGACTTTGAGATGATGAAATGTCCCAGAGACTCCTGTTCGAAGGGTAGGTTCTGGTAACAAAAAGACTGGGAATGAGTTTGGTGTATTCCAAGGGCTGAATTTCCTGCTAACTGGTTTAAGGCTTCAGTTCCGTTTGAGTCACAAGAAAAGTAAATAAAGTTCAAGAGGAATTTTTGAGATCAAAAGTCAGGAAATCTAAACTCTGCTTTAGGCCTGGTTTGTCACATCTCTTTTCTGGAGCTCTGCTTTCTCTAAACACAGCCTAGTCTATTTTTATTTTTAAGACTAATATCCTTTTTCTCTCCTAACTTTATATCTAAATTTAAAAAAATAAGTAACTGTTTCTAATATTCATTTTCCTTTTTGGTGCTTATGAAGTTCTCAAACAATTTTGTTTTCTGGATAACTTAAGAAAAATGTCCAAAGAAAACAGAGACACTGGGAAAAAATAGTTGCAGCAAAGAAGAGCAAAAGAAAGCAAGAGAAAGAAAGAAGAAAAGCCAATCGTGTAGAAAATTCAGGTAACAGTAAATCAGATTGCTGGTATAATTATATTTATTTCTTAGCAAACGGGTATCTACATGTTCCTAGAAGAATAGGAATGTTGTTTTTAAGTAAAAACAAACATCTGGGAGGTAAGACCCATCTTCGTATTTTATTGGGAATCAAAATATCAAAGAAAAGAAAATTGAAGTCTGTCTTTCAAATATAAGCTATTTAGTATATTTAGTGCATATGTGTTTATAAGCTCCGAGGTAGAAGGAATAATACCAGCAACAGCTAACATTCAGTAAGTGCTACGTGCTAGATTCAGTGCTAAGAATTTTACATGGATTACCCTAAGGAGTAGGTACTTTTATTATCCCCATTTTGTAGGTAAAGAGACTGAGGCTTAAGTAATTCAATAACATAGTTAAGATGATACAGGTAATAAATGAACAAACAACATAGATTTAGACCCAAGCAGTGTGCTGCAGAGCCCACACTCGTCACCACTCTGCCATACCTAAACTGCCTAATGAATGAAACCTTGCACAAATTTCAAGTTTCTCTTCATATCCAAATAGTGAAGATTTGTTTCTTAACTGAATATTGTTCCTTTGTTTTCCCACTTATATTCTTTTCTGGTATTTCTCCTCTAGGCATCTGCCCCCAGCACAGCAAACGTTTTCTGAGATCCTTAACCAAGGAGAAACTTTTGGAAGCCAAACACTCAGGACCAAGGCTCTGTATTGATTTGAGTATGACCCACCACATGTCTAAGAAGGTAGAACATCTAGTAAGCTCTGAATTCCTACTCACATGAGAGAAGTCCAGAAGGGAGCAGCTTTCATGAAGAGCATAGCCAGCTCCACCTTCTGTGATTCTATAGTAAACCAGCAAAAGTGTTTCGTTTTCTACACATGGCTAAGTTCCAAGATGGCTGTTGTAAAGAATCAGGAAGAGAATAGACATCTTCTGGTTAAGTTGGGAAATTTTTACCTTCTGTTTTGAAATCAACGCTTTGCCCCTGTGTTCATGGTGTCCCCAGTCGAGATGGAGCCTTTCAGGTTCAATTCTCCGAAGATCTTTGGTCTTTTACTGGGGAGAGAAATACTTGCCTGATTGCATGTTGGGGAGATTACCTAGTGGGAGGTTTTCCTGTAATGTATGTAGTTAGTGGTCTTCCATTTACCCTATTGCTGAAGGAGGGATTTCCACTCTGGAGTATTTGGGGTGGCTGAACACAAACAACACTTGACAGTGGTGAGATAAAATTGATAGCAGTTTATTAGTCACTATGCTCAGCCCAGGAGGAGGATGACACTGACACTCAGAACAGAATGAACAACCAGGGACTTTGGGAGGCAGGCTTTGTAGTATCAAAAGGGTGGAGTGCCCCGTGGTCCCTGCAGGAAGATGTGATTGGTTTTTGGAATAATTCTGTGGGCTGGCTTGGAACTGAAACCCACTGCTCAGGGATAGGCAGGAAGTACACCTGGTCCCTTTGATTAAAAGGATCTTTTAGCTGGGGGACCTTATCTGTGGGAGCAGATCTGAGAGAGGCTCTTGCAGTCAGGGCCATTCATGGCCCACCTGTTTTCACCAGATGTCAAGGCAGCACACAATATTGGGCCTTAATTTTTGGCCTAACACTGCAAAACAAATCTTTTAGTTTTCCAAGATTCCTTTTGTATGTGCTAGTGTTTGCATGTTTCTCAGAGAAATTAGAAGATCTGAAGGTCTGCAGTTCTTACTTGGTACCTCTAACTATAGCCCTCTGAAAAAGTCAGCAAGTATTTTCTGTGTTTATATTGATATATCAGATTAAATCAAACCCAAAGCCTTCTTTTTCTCTACTGAAACAAATAAGGCAGATTGTGAAACTACCTTCTGTAAGGGTGAGTTCTCTGAATCAGGACAGAAGTTAAAACTTCCAATCCTGTTACATCTGGAGTTAGGGAGAAGGTGCCAAGTTTATCTGATGGAATATAAAAATGTCTGTATAGTAATCTAACTTCTTTTTAATAAATAGTAAACACATGGTAAGACTTTAGATAAAAGCTAAAAGAGCAATTTCATATATTAGATACATAACAGCAAGTCCACAAGGAAGGAGAGTTCTCAGTTTTTCCATTAATTCACTGTTTCTAGTATCATTACCTTAACGTTTCATCTATAAGGTGTGATGCCATAGAGTATAACACGTACTCACACATACATGTCCTCACTCCTGGAATAAAAGGAGTCCTTCTAGTTCATGAGATTTTCCAGAATGGCATCTTTCCACCTTAAATCGTCCTTATTTCTTTGAAGGAATTAAGTAGACTGGCTGGACAGATCCGAAGGTTGTATGGTTCAAATAAAAAAGCTGACAGGCCATTTTGGATCTGCCTTGCTGGATTCGCAACAGACAGTCCCCTGTATGAAGAGTGTTTGAGGATGAATGACGGATTTTCTAGTTACCTGGTAAGCCTCATTTTGCATATTATTTGAATTATCTAAAAAGTAGGTTGTGGGTAATTTATTTTTACTTTTTTATATTTTGATATATAAAAAATATATTTAAAATTATATGTTTTCACTATTACAATCTAAAAATTTTGAACCTTTCGTCAGTTCTTATATTTAAAATTTTTCATCTTTCCACTGCATTGGCATAAAAATATTACCAGTATCTAAGGTTGTGTTTTGTGTCCTATATATTATATGCTAGAGGGTATACTCAGGAATGTTTTGGGGAAATGCCATGGCTCCTTTCTTGTTCTCAGTAATGCAGAATTAGGAAATATGAGTTTTGGAGGAAGAGAAACAATCCTTATGGAAGTGATATGGATTTAAGATGAGTTTTAGGAAGAACTAAGTTACTTTCCCACTCTTTTCATCAGATCTCATAAATGTAATGATTGATATATAGGGAAGAATCCAGTTCAGTTCGTAAGAAATGCCATTATAAATGCCTTCCATGTTTGCATTAGGTGGCTGAGACTGGCATTGTGGCCTTTCCTAGGGAGGTCCACGGAGACAGTGAGTGTGAAAAGCGCCCTGTGCAGTGCTGCACAAATTCATCATGGCTGCTGTCACTGTCTTAACAGTCCCTCCTGTAGTGCAGCTGTTTCCAGCCTTACTTTTCTCTATACATGTTTTATGATTCCTGTCCGTGAACCAGACAGACCCACTCTCTCGTTTTCCTGTCTTCATGCCTTTGTTAGATGATTCCCCGCACTGTGAATGCTTTCTTTTGTACGTGTCAATCTCACCACTTCAGAAACCCAGTTCCAGCATTCCTTTCACTAGAAGGTCATCCCTGGTGTTGGCACTCTGTCACCTATGGTCTTAGGACATGCTCCCTATAGACCTGTTAGGGCCTCTTCACTTTCTCATTTTGTAAGGTTGAATGGCTGTGCCTTTCTACTTCCCCCTCCCCAACTGAGCACTTTCTGAGAACAGGTTGTCAGACATGTAGCCCCTTGATGTACCTATAGCCATGCCTGATAGAAACTAGATGTCCAATAACTGGTTGCTGCAGTGTCGGCTATGTATTAATCCTAGTTCACACTTCATTGGATTATTTGCATTCTTTTTAGCTCGACATAACAGAAGAAGACTGTTTTAGTTTATATCCCCTGGAAACCCTTGTGTACCTGACTCCTGATGCAGAACATGGTATGTATTTTACTGCATGGATTCATGTAGCACATTGTACATAGCCCTTTGTTTTATTATTCCTTGGGTGGCAGAATTTGTTAAAGCCACCCAAGGCATATCATTCCCCACCCCCGCAAAAAAGGAATGAACATTACTTGAGTACCTCTTATGGACAGATGCCTTGCTGAGTGCTTTGTCCTACTGTGGGCACACAGCTGCACAGATTTAGTGTCTTCATCCTCAGCCAGACCTTGTGAGCTACCTGGTGGCCCTTAGTTTCCCTGGTCAGCTCTCCGCATTGACCCTTCTTGGATCAATGTTAGATACATCTTTTTTTTCCCATAAAATCATCTATTGCACATAATTTTCAAATTTATTGATATTAAGTTGATCTTTGTATTTTTTTCTAATTATTTCACATTTCTCTGTAATTTTAATTTTGTCTCCTTTCTGAACCCTAAGATTGATTTGGGTCTACTACCTTTTTTTCTTGATTAGATATGCCAAAGATTTGTCTATTTATTGGTCTTTTCAGAGAATTAGCAAATCTATCTTTTTGGTTTCTATTTCATTAAATTTCTACTTTCATCATTTTTTCTTTTTACTTCTTTGGATTTAGAAATTACAAAGCAGATTAAATCACAATGGCCTTCATTTTTTCATTAGCTCTTGAAGATGTTGATCTAAACAAAGTTTACATCCTTGGTGGACTTGTGGATGAAAGCATTCAGAAGGTAAGTGTACATTTTAGGCCTAAAAACTGTGTTTTGAAAAGTGGTGCTTAACTTTTAGAGGCACCTACCCTGTTATAATTTTACGCAAAAGGCCTAAAAACTCAGAGGATAGGAAGAAGGAGCCTATTCTGCCTAAGTTGGCCCTTCTGCTTGTGACAGTCCCGCTCTCCCCTCTCTTCTCATCAGCACTGTCAGAAATCTGGACTTGTGAAATCCAGTCAGAACTGGAATGGGGCGTGTTTAGTAAGTACATCAATAGCCGTTGTTGACTCCTTTCTTCTCTCTTCATTCCTGTAAGGATAACTCTGCCCTTGACCAAGGAAGCATTGACTCAGAATTCTTAACAGCTGTTCTTTGTGAGAGTAGTTTGCTGCTGCTTCGTCCATTTTCCCTGCTGACATAAGTCTTATCATCTCAACCTCAGTAGTACTGTCCAGATTTCCTTTGTTGAGTTGGAATTTTATTACAATAATTAGCTTTTCAGTGTTTCTATTATATAAATATTTGTTGAGATGTTATTTGTATTTACTAATTAACATTGCATAGATAATAAAGAATGAAATAATAGTTAAAATGTATAAAAAGGAATACAGTGAGAAATAAGTCTCCCTCCCATCTGTTTCCCAGTGTCCCCCACTTGAGGCAACCACTGTTTTCTTGTGTATTCCTCTTGATATATTATATGATCACACAAATATCTGTTTGTGGGTATATTTTTATATAAATGTTTTTCATACATGTGAGTATATTTTATATTTTTTCATGTATGTGTGAAATACTCACATGTTTAACACAGATGATATTTAACTGAATTGCATTTATTCTGAAAAGGTTAGTGTTCCATGACTTTATAGCGATAATCTAAAAAAATGGAGGAGGGGAGAACTCTTAATAATGCCCGCTAATAAATGAGAAGTGCATAATAGAATCAAAAAATCATCATTTTGTCACTCCCAGGGTAATCTTTGATTCAGGGAATTGATTGAACAAAAGGTTGTTGAGGAACTGACTGTTCACATGGTCTTAAGGGCAGATTATAAACGATAAGCTAGAACAACATCAGAAAAGGTTGACCCAAAGGATGAAGGGATTCAGAACTAAATCATAGTCAAGGAACAGTTGACAACTGAGACTATGAGTCTGGAGATGAGAGGATTCATAGTGGCATGATCACTGCCTTCAGGTATCTAAATGGCTGCCTTGTGGAAGTTGCCCTTCCTTTTAATTGGGCTGTGACCTCAATGCTGTCTTGCTGCTAGTGGTCTGCTTGACTTGAATCCCATCTCCCTCTCTAATCTGCTGCTACCAGTTGTCTCTAAACTGAAAACTCCAGATATCCAGAATTGGGTCTTACTGAGTTAGGGCCAGGCATATTTTCTTCTGATTGATTAGTCTTCTGACTGATTAGTGTGGACTTTTGGATGCAGATTGTGGCTGTAGATATGCTTCTTTTTACTTATTTCTTTCTTGGTTGTAAGTAGTAGTGAGTGGAAGCTAGTGGATAAATGACTCCCAAATAAGTAAGGTGTTGCTGCACAAGCCATTTCTTTTCTTGGGATAAGTAAATACTCTTCATTATCTGCAGTTTCTTCCATTCTACCATAGGCTACTATTTTTGATACTTATCATTAATTATGATAAGTATTAAATATACAGAGGGAAATTTGAGTGGTGGTAAATGGGGATTACAATATCTTCATGTATTATTTTTAAAAGAAAAATATTTAACTGTGATTTACAGAAAGTGACGTTTCAAAAGGCCCAAGAACACTCTGTCAAGACAGCACGCCTGCCAATCCAGGAATACATGGTCAGACGCCAGAATGGGAAAAACTATCATTCAGAGATATTGGCCATCAATCAAGGTATTGTTCACATGGCCCACGCTTAATGAGTATTAGTTCTGGTGCTGCTGCTTTATTCTTTACATCATGTTTAAGTATGAATGGCCTTTGAAGCAGTCTTCCCTGTGACTGATGTGCTTGGACTTTATTGCATGAGAGTGTTTTCATTTTTTTCCTGATTCTCAAGTCAATATGGTTGAAATTGTTGTCTTGGTCTAGAGTGCCCTGCCTTTAACCCATCATTGACCAGTGTGAAGTCCTATTTGTTCTTCAGGATTCAATTCACTGGCATCTTGGCTGCTCCCCTCCCCGACCCCAGGCCTGATAGAAACTCAATGTTCCCATTTATTCTGTTCCTCTCTGTTGCAGTTTTGTCCATTCACAGACCTGTATCTCTGTGTAGGCTGAGGTCCTTGTGAGCAAGCAGGACCTGTATCTTAGCCTCTGTCTCCCTAGGATCTAGTACCATGTGTGGCGCAGTAGGTTTGTTGAATGAAATATTCCAGAACATCTTTTTTCTTATCATTTACTAGTTCTCTTTTAACAATGTAGTCACTGTGCTTTCTGTTTACCCAACAGTATTTGATATCCTGTCCACTTACTTTGAGACTCAAAACTGGCCCGAAGCATTGAAGAAAGGAGTTTCTTCCAGAAAAGGCTATGTTCTTCAGAACTCAGTGGAATGATGGCAGCCTAAGATTGCAGCTGCAGGAAGTGAAGTTGCTGGAGTGGCCTTGACCAAAGAGCAGAGCGAACAGTGGTGGTGGCACACTTTTGCCTTTACTTGACATCTTGGATATTCACTAGAATATAGGTTACTAGTAACAGGGACATTTTATGCTCTTTTTTAATCTCCCATAGTGCCTGGCTCACAGGAAGTGCCCCCAGATATATGTTGACTAAAAGTTTATGGTAACAAGAAATTAGCTCAACTACATGACTTTGGATGTGTTAACTCATTTTTGTACATCTATTTGTGAAAACCCTTTTAATGATGGTTTAAATCATTATTGTTGTATCAAGAGTTTAATTTTCACTGAACTGGTATCAAAGTTGAATGACTTTCCAGCTCCTTTTGATCATGTTGTACATGTGCTTTGCAGGATCTGCCTGTCCTAATCTAGCCCTGCTTTAAGCCCCATAGCACTGTTCCCACCTGTGGCTCCTACCCTGTCTCCCTTGCTCTGCATATGGGCATGGAGGGCTTCTCTCTTCCTAACTGTAGTCCCCTCTAAAAGGACAATTTGTGGAAGTACCTTCGTATCCTCTGAGCCTTGTACAAACTAGATTCTTCATATATACTTATCAGGTCAAACGGAACAGCGAAAACACAGTATTGATAAGTCTAATTTGAAAATAACCAAAAAATACATTTTATCTGACACAAGCATGTTAAAGAACCTCTTATTACACAAATCCCAGTGATCTATTTTCTCATGTCCTAGTTAGATACAGTTGCTTCAGTTACTCTGGCCAGTTTGGTTTAGTCAACTTGATAGCTAAACTGCTAGCAAATTCAAAAAACGTATTCTGTATCTCAAAAGAACCAAAAGGTTACTTCTCTGTTCTGTCCCCTCCCTTTTATAACTTAATCCTTCAGGAGCTATGACCACTTGATAAATTATATCAGTCTTTTTATTACTTAAAAACAACTCAGTTTTCAGAAAACATCTTTAGGAGTTCCTATTGTTCCTTGGTCTTTATCAACATATTGAATGATTCCATAGTCTGTCATCCAAAAGAGACCTACTGTGGATAGGTTTCAGTGGTAACTCTAACCATATTTTCAGGGAGGTTTCTGACCCCAGAACCACAGACCTAGATCATCTGCCAGGCTTCATTCACCTCTAAGGTTTTGCTTAAAATACCAAATAGCAGAAGAATCTCCCCTCCAACTCCATCACAAACCTCTACAATTTTTTTCAAAACCTAGGCAGGTAGTTTTTTGTTTGGCTTCTAGGAAACAATCTTAGTAAAATAAGATTTGGTTGGACTTGGATTCAGAGATCCTTATTATAGTGTTGTTTATATTACAACAAAAAAAGATATATCCAAAATATCCTATAATGTGAAAATGAAATATATAACTATTGAATTTTAAATAGCAATCATGGAAGAAATATATTAAATGTTGTTTGAAGTAGACAAAGTCTATGACTAGTATATAAAGTATAATACTGTATTCCAACTTGAGAAACACACATTCACATATAGTTGGGAGGGTAGGCCCAGTTAACATCTGTGCCTCAGTTTCTTCTACTAGAAGGATTATGTGTCTTCTTCAGTTACGAAGAATAAATGAGTTAATCCAAGCAAAATACTTGGAACAATATTTGATCCATGGTAAACACAATAATTGTTACCTGTTACACACTTACCACTAAGTAACAGGATTACAGTTTTTATTTGCTTTATACTTTCTACGTAGTCTACGTTTTCTTTGGTGAGTATATTTTATCATGATCAGAAAATAGTTATTTTAATGCTCACTTCCAGTTCATTACAGAAACTGCACTCTAGCAAAACTAAAGTTAATACCAAATAAACCATAACACTAACTTTTGGTAAACTTTATTGCAAAGAACAAAAAAAAACCCACACCATTATTTTATAATGATTTTTCTCACCCACAAGAACATGGATAGCAACCAGTTTTTTATAAAAATATTTCCTTTTAAGACTCCAATAAGACAATATGTACATTCACATCTTGTCTTCTGAAGATTTAATGAGGACAGGTTCACCTGAAAAAAATTTTCCCTGGGAAATCCACAGTCTCTTGGTTTAACTGGCCCGTAAAAAAGTCCACATAGATCAACTTTCTGCCAATCTAGAAAAGATTTGTTTTCTTTGATCTGCTGTCATGTGTTCACAAGCTTCTAAAATGTTTGCCAAGATTAAGGTTTGCTGAACTGTTTTTGCCTTAACCCATATTCTTCCATTCATCCCAAATACTATTTCCAGGGGGTAGAGTTTTCCTACTTCCTGTATGATTTCACAGTCTGGAGCTAGCAGCCTGGTGAGAAAGAGGAAAGAAAATGAAATTTAACAAAGTGGTAGGGTGTGACATGACCCTCCTTTAGGAGGAGACTCCTTTTCTAGGCAGTTCTCCATACTTATTCAAAGCCCTACCAATATCTTTCCAAGAACAAGGCACATGACAACATTTGTTACCCCTTTTCTTCCAAGAAGCTTTACACTTACCAGCATACCGGAGGTCACAGTGGTGGACCATCCTCTACAAAGAAATTAAACTCCCTGTGTCGCCAACTTTACCAAAAATGTATAAAGTTCTTCCCTTACATAGTTAAAGTATCTTAATTCTAGGCTTTAGAATCCCTGGTATTAAATTTAGTACTTGGAGAGAAGCATTAACTCTTTCAAACCACAATGGTACTGCTTGGTTAATAACATGCTTCTCTAATGTCCTGAACTAATTCTCCAAATCTGCAGAATAAATAGCAAAGAGAGGCATGCAAGATAGCTCTGAACTTCAGGATCTAGAAGTAAAGCCCTTTAATAGGGCACCAGCTTTGGGTAGGTAAAAGTCTAAACACCTAATGGAGAATCTGCCTCTGGGAATTATTAAATCTACCAGGACAGAATAGCAGGAGACTTTGGTGAATGTCTGCATAAGCTGAGGATCACATCAGTCTAGCTGCATGGGCTCCTATTATTAGAGAAATTTGGTGATTTTCTACAATTGTAAACTGCATATGTATTCAAGTGACTTAGAAGGGTTGGAAAGGCCAGTTTTTACATTTGGGCTGAGTATATCAGCTATAAGGAACAGCATACCTTCTGGGAGAGCAGCTCAGACTCCATATCTACACACTAACTACACTGTTAAGTACATTTGAATTTTATGTATTCCATTAAGAGAGGATGGGGCTAAATGCGTGAGTTTACAATTGTGCTAATATAGATACTGATTTTTTAACTCTGAGGAGATTCACACATTGTTACAAAGAACCCAAATCCCAAAGATCAGTCAGCTTTCCAAGGAAGTATAATTATAAAAGATAGGCAAGCCAGAAGGCATCAGGACTTACTTTCTAATTAAGCCCAAAGTCACTTTAAAAAGTAGACCATCCTGTCCAATCACACCCATTCCGTTGGCTCGTCCACAGCTGTCAATACAGACCATTTCTGGTTCCATATCTTTATTAGCAACCACAAATTGTCCATAGATGAGATCTCCAACCTACAATGATAATTAAAAACGGTTCATCCTTCTGAACGAATCGCTCTTAGGTGCTACTGTTGGTTCTTTCCTATAGACAGCAATGCCAACCACCTACAGTTCTGTGGCTTAATGTACTGACTACACTCCAGCATTCCCAGAGGCACTCTGGAGTTTGGTCTTAAAAGGCAACATTAACACATGTACCCTTCCCCTTCACCCACCAGGAAGTCCCCAGACAGGGAGCCAACTCAAAGCCAAAACCTCTAAGGTTACACCATCCAATCTGGTAGCTGTTAACACACATGTATTTATTTAAACTTACTTTTAAATTAAAATTAGACACTTGAAATTCATATCCTCAGTTACATTAGCCACATTTCAAGTACTCAACAGGCACCTATGGCTATGGGCACCCATGCTAATCAAACAGCATCATCACAAAAATATCTATTTGCACTGCTTTAGGAAATTACAGAAGATTGATGGATAGACAAACTGGCATGTGTATTATTCACAGCAAAATGGAACAATGGTAATTCACTGACACCTCTCCATGCAAGATTTAATTGAGAACCTCAGAGTTGAACTTCAAAATGATGAAACTAAGGAAATTGAGAGTGAATTATTCTGTTAAGTACCTACTATTTGTCCATGCAAGATTTAATTGAGAACCTCAAACTGATGAAACTTCAAAATGATGAAACTAAGGAAATTGAGAGTGAATTATTCTGTTAAGTACCTACTATTTGTTCATGCAAGATTTAATTGAGAACCTCAGAGTTGAACTTCAAAATGATGAAACTAAGGAAATTGAGAGTGAATTATTCTGTTAAGTACCTACTATTTGTTGGTGACTAGAGGAACTAGAACATTCTCCGCCTTTCAGAGCATTTGGTCTTGGAGGGCAGTGGAGATGTACATATAAATAACAAACTTTATTTCAAGCCAAATTCAGTAAGGCTAGAACAAAGTTATAAGGATAAGTGCCTTAGATTAGGAAATGACTTTACAGAGGTGGTGGTGTTTAGCCTGGGTCTTAAAAGATGAGTATGTGTTCCACAGGCTGAAAAGGGGATAAAGGGAACAGCATGTGCAGGAAATTTTGAGTTCAGTAGTGCTGTTAATTAGTTTGGTGTGGGTCAAGCATGCTGCATGGAGATATACTTATGGATGAGGGAAGGCTTTTAGAGTGTAATGCCACAGAAATCTGTAGGCTTTGAAGAAAGGGGAGTGTGTGAGGCTATCGGCTCTCAAAAGCCTGGATGGAGGGGCAAAAGTGTATAGGCAGGGATGTTAATGAGGAGGTACTTGACCAACTCCAGTCAAGAGGTAACTAAGGCCTGAATTTGCAAAATAGAGATACAAGGAGAAGACTTAGAGAATCAAATAGGATCAGTAAGATAAGATTAAGCAACAAAAGACAGATGAAAGGTGAGAAGGGGCAGAGAAACCACCAAATTTCTGGCTTAAGTATAGAATGAGTGTGGTTTTGCCACCCAAAAAGCCCAAATAGAAAACTTAAGGAAACACAACTGCTCCTCTATCAACTCCAGGAAGAGATTGTTGGGAAACAGTGATGTGACTGAAGTTGTGAAATGACAGTCCCAGCACTTACAATCAGGATAGATGCATGGCTGATAAGGCAATCTGCACCATTTATTCCTCCTTCCTTCCTAAGCCCATGACTTACTTCTTTGTCCAGTGGATATGGGCATAACAGATAATGACAGAGAGAACAGATATAATCTTTTAACTCAGTAGAGATGAAGTAACCCCCAATATAGCAAATGTAATAAGTATGTGGCTCTGGCACCAGAGCTGGAGCGTCAGAAGAAATTCTTGGGAGCCTGGATTACACAGATGCTTGGAGATAATTCTATAGAACTGGGGAAAAAAGGTCATGCTTTGGAACAATTCAGGTAGCCTACTGGATATTTGGATGCTTTCCTTCTTTTGAAACCAAAGGTTACCATCATTACCTGCACATTTGGTCTGTTTCTTTTAGTTGCACCTTCAAATGCCAAGTAAGACAAAGAAGCTGGCTCACTCCCTCCAACATCAACTTTGAATATATCTCCAGATTTAGCTGTCACTATGCCAATCACATGGTCTCCTTTCACTGGGACATACTACAAAAGAAATCAGAATGAGAAACAACCATAAATGACAATCATTTCCAAGATACCTTGGAAGATATCTTCAGCAAGTCCTTAGTGGTTATTTTAATATTTGTCATTAAGAGATATTTAGAAAATATTTTGAAATCCAAATTTACAAATTAATACAAGTCTTACAACAAACTTTATCATATGCCACTATCAGTAAAAGAAACTCAGATCATAAAACTCTCAGGTTTACAGCTTCTAATAGTCTGTTCATTTGAGCCGGTATCCCATACCTTTTCGGTACCCTTATCAGGGAGTCCTTAGCTTCTACTTGCACATAAGTCCGGTGGCACAGGCAGTCCTCAAAACCAAGGAAGGCCATTAAATTGTCAGACAATTTTTCCTATGTGAAAGTTCTTATTCTAAGAAAAATCTAACTCCCTGTGACATCTACTCATTGAACCTAGTTCTGTCCTTTGGGACCCCTTAAAGATAAGCCTGGTTCTCCCTGACCTTTGAGATTTTGAAGACAATGACCATGTCTCACAGTCCTTATCCCTTATATGCCAAGATATCTAGACTCCTTTCTCTCCTAGTCGCACTTCTAGGGCCACGTTCCAGTTGTGTAGTCCCGCTAAAGGAGATGCAGAGGTGGGCACAGACACATTGACTACAGGCTAGCCTTAAGAGAGGAGGGCTCCAGCGCCCCCTTTCCGCTTCTTCCAAGAAATCTTCCCAGAGCGGAGATACTACTTTTATGGCCGTACCACCCCTCTGGAGTGCCAACTCACCCGTTTCTGTTGCGAGTCCACCCAGTAAACGCCGCCGCCGCTGCCGCCGGGCTCCTTGTGACGGAGGCGGCCGCACTTGGTGACCAACAGGCGGTCGCCACAGCGCCGCAAGCCCGGACCGCACACAACGCGCACCCGAGAGCGCGCTCCCGCATTTAGGCGCAGCGGTCGCTCCCCTGCACCTCCTGGGCCTTCTGCGTCCTCCTGCTCCGGCAGCAGAAGCTCCTCACCCGGGAGCACCACCTGATCTAGCACAGTGCACGCCGCCCGCGCTCTGCCACCCACAAGGGACTCGGCTGCGACACCCGCAGCCTCAGCCATCCTAAGCGCCACCACAGTTCCCGGCTTCCGCTTCCGGCATCGCGTCCAATCACCAACCCGCCCAAGTCTTTCCGTTTTCCGCTGTTACGGCCTATTGGACTTGAACCTTCATCTGCGAAGCTTGATCCCTGTGGACCAGCGGGTCCCCACAAGGTGACTATGCCTGTGTCTCTAACAGGCTGCCTACCCTGAAGTCTGTTCGCTGGTCCGTACGAGAAACACGCGGCTTCAATGCATCGCAGAGCCTCTACTTCCGGTGTCTCGGGTCGCACAATAAGATACAAAACGCTCCCACTTCGGGTTCCGAGGGAACGTTGGGAACTGAGCAGAGGCTTCGGGAGTGAGCCCTTCTGATCTCGCCCTCAGGAGGAAAAGTAGTTTCCTTTTCCAAAATAAAACCTTGGTTGTTGCTAGAGAAGATATCTATTCACACTGTGGAAAACATATAGAAGAATAAAAATTAAATAAAACAAACTAGTCTTGCCCCCATTTGTCTCCCTTGCTAGGCTGTCATCTAGTTTTCATTCTTTGTAGCCCAGGGTCTGGCACAAAATAGCTAATACCCGATGAATGAATAAATAGTAACGTTTTGGCGTGTGTATTTCTCCCTAGACTTTTTTCCCTGCAAATATAAACATATAACATGCACATTTGCACACAATTGAGCTATCTACATGGCCTGAGAAAAATCAGTAACTGCAGTTAAATCCTTCTACTTTTCCTAGAGCACGCTTTAGTTGCCCATGTGAGAAGCTGAATTCAAAATCCATAGCACTTTAGGTCTGCTCTTTTGACTTCTAGGGCTCTTACTTGAAATGATGATTTCCTCTGTCAACTGTCACCTCCAATGAGCCCTTGGTCAGATTCTCCAGCAGGGATGAAAGTTCCTGGGCACTGGGAGGGCTTGGCTCTGCTCATCTTTTTGAAGCATCTCCTTCCAACGTGAATTTTTAGGATGTTTAAGACAGACCATCTCTAACATGCCCTCCAAATCTGGCAAGATACCGATAAACTAATCGAGTAAGATGCCAACTGAAACGTAACTTTTGTTGTTTTGCGGATTATTGTTAAGAACTATTCTTGGTCAGTTATCTTGACAGAAGGGGTGGTGTAGATTCTTTTTCTCTCCTTCCAACTCCAACCCAGCTCCAGAGGGCCGAAACTGTAGGTATTCCGCGACCAACAATGCCTGGATATTGACTGGCCCAAGGCCATGTCAGAAGGGAGCTCAATGACTTCCCGGCCAGGGAGAAAGGGAGGTAGGGAAGAGAGCCCAGGATTGTCCCTCAGGCACTCCACATCAGTAGAGGAGGCCTGGAAGAAACTGCCCAAATATGTCTACGGAATTCCATCAAGTCCACTTTCCTGTGGGGGCGGCACGTGGGAATCCGTCTGGCTCACAGTCAATAGATGAAACCAGATGTCAGTAGGAAGTCCTTCGCCTTGAGACCAGAAATTCAGGCCGCTAGGGACGGGCCGTCGGGACCCCGCCCGCCAAGCCCTTCCCGACACACCCGAGGGGCATCCTGGCCTTTGCGCTGCAAGCCGCCAGGGCTGTGCTGAGCCAACTCGGCGTCCTGCGGCCACTGGTGAGCGAGAGTGCGCCGCCATGGCCAGGGTAGGTGTGCAGGTCTCCGGGGATGCGAGATCCGCCCGCGTGTGGGTGGGTGGGAAGCCGAGCGAGTGTGCGGAGCCCGGCCATGAGCTGGGCTTGGGCGACGCGTGGTCTGGTTTTGGGGTCCCATGGGGGTTGCAGTTGTGAAGTTCGCGTTGTGCAGTTGTGAAGTCCGACCTGTGCGTGTTGCCTTATTTGGGTGTGAAGGTGGCCGCAGCGACTGGGAAATGCAGAAGAGGCCAGGGCCATACAGCCGCGGACGCACCTTCGGGAGTCAGACCATGCCCCGCCCTCGGCCAGCGTGTGGCTGACTTCTTGGCGGATTGCCCTGCGTGGGGCTTGCAGCCTGGGAGCCAATGCAGTCGCGGCAACGTCGTCGACTCCTTTGAGAGTACGCCTCCTTATTTCTGAGTATTTTCTTCGGAAAACTACCAAATTGCCCTTCGGAAAGATCGGACCGACCACCTTCTGGCCTCTTTCCCAGAACTTCGTCTTTAGTAATCTTTGGTACTTTAGAAGTTAGAAAAGTAGAATCTCACGGTAGCTTTTTCTTTCCTTTGTGAGATTTAGAGGTTTTTTCCCTTTCACTCTGCGACACTAGCTGAGCCTTTGCTCTGAGCCAGGAATTGAGCTGGGGAATCAGCTGATCATGGTCCCTGCCCTCGCGGAGTTCACTGTCTCCACATGAAAATACCAAGAGTTACAGTTGCTGTAACAGTCTGATTATTGTCAGCCCTGAAATTACAGAGGATGGATGAAATAGTTTTCTTTATGTAGGAGGAAGGCAAGATTCAGGATAGGTATCCCAAAAGAGGTACTATTTGAACCTTTAACATTTTTTAGTTCACTGGTTTCTAAAAATTACAAATTAACTACATACTGGTTGACATACAGAAATTAATAGCAAAAGAGTCCATGGAAGTAATGTTAATATCTTTATTCAAGCACAGGATTGATAATAAATGCTCAGGATTATCACTGCAGCTACTTGCTACAGATGTTTTTAATCACAAAGAACTCTGGCTAGGAAAAACTAAAGAGAGTTTTAAAGAGTATAAGAGTAGGTATAAGGACAAGCTATTACCTGTAGTACGGAGATAAAGCACCCAAGGAAGAGCCTCTCTCCTTAGCAGGACTGACTAAGACCTTGTGGAGAGGGCATGGTCATGGCTTCTTAAGTGGCAAGAAGTCACTAGGGATCTGTGCTAGTGGGACGTGCTAGAAATCCACCCTCCAGAACTTGCTGACGCTTTCAAGGGTGCTGCAGAATGCTATTCCTGGGGAGGTGTCTGCTGGGTAGAGTGCTGGGGAAAGCTACTCTTGGGGAGGAGTTTTGTAACCCTGTTACAAAACTGCCCCGTAGGGTGCTAGGGAAAACTGCTGGCTGCTGAGTTCTGGCCACCATGCAAAACAGGAGCAGATACTGGAGAAGTTACCCTGCTGCAGAGGTATACTAGAGAGCACACAGGAACCAAAACCCATTTCATTCTTCCAGCAATGCCTCTGCAGGGCCTTCTACCTATAAAGCTTATCTTCATTGACAAAAAGCAAAGGAAAAATGTTTTAAAGGCCCAGACCCATTTTCTCAGAGCAGACGGTGAAAAGTGAGTTTAGAGCTGAATGGCAATACATTGATAACTGGCCCAAGGTCTTATGAGGTTGTAGGATCAACAAACTCATCAGTAACAGCAATAAGGTAGAGTCTACACACATCTGGATGGCTTTACTGATGAATTCTACCAAACGTTTGAAGAATTAATGCCCATTATTCATAAACTCTTCCAAAAAATACAAGAGAGAACTCATTCTTTAAGGCCAGAATTACTCTAATATCAAACCAAAGATATCAGAGGAAAAACTACAGTTCAACATCCCTAATGAATATAGACACAAAAATGCTCCACAAAATACTAGCAAACTGAATCCAGCAACATATAAAAAGGATTATACACCATAACTAAATGGGATTTACCCCAGGACAGCAAGGTCTTTTAACATCTGAAATCAATTAATGTAATATACCATATCAATAGAATAAAGGACAAAAACCAAATTATCATCTCAATAAAGGCAGGGAAAAAGCATTTGAAAAAGTCCAAATGATAAAAACACTCAATAAACCAGGATTAGAAAGGAACTTCCTCAACCTAATAAAGGGCATCTACAAAAACCCACAGCTAACATCATACTTCATGGTGAAAGACTGAAAGCTTTTTCCCTAAGATAAGAAGACGACAAGGAAGTCTGCTCCCTCCACTTCTTTCAGCATTGTACTGGAGATTTTATCTCAGGCAATATGACAAGAAAAATAAGTAAAAGGTATCCAGATTCCAAAGGAAGAAGTAAAACTACCTCTATATGTAGGTGATAAAACCTGGTACATAGAGAACACCGAGGAATCCATTTAAAAAAGTTAGAACTAACAAGTTCAGCAAGGTTGCTAGCTTACATACAAAAATCAATTGCATTTCTGTACACTTGAACAACGGAAAAATGAAATTAAGATTCATTTACAGTAGCATCAAAGAGAATAAAACATCTGGAAATAAATTTAACAGAAGAAATGCCAAACTTAAACTCTAGAAACTACGAAACATTGTTGAAAGAAATTAAAGACCTAAATAATTATGTTCATGGATCAGAAAATTTAATAGTGGTAAGAAATAATATTCCCTAAATTGCTATGATATACAGAGTCAGTGCAGTCCCTATTAAAATCCCTGTTGTCTTCATTGCAAAAATTGATAAATTGATCCTAAAATTCATATAGAAATTCAAGGGACCATTAGTTAAATATATATTTGTGTGTGTGTGTGTATGTATGTATGTATGTATGTATGTATGTGTATATATATATATGAACAAAGTTGGAGGAATTCTGATTTCAAATCTTACTACAAGGCTTAGAGTAATCAAAGCAGTGCAGTATTGTCATAAAGATTGAAATCAATGGAATAGAATTGAGAATATAGACATAAACTCTCATATTTGTGGTCACGTGATTTTTGACAAGGGTGCCAAGGTAATTTTATGGGAAAAGAAAAATCTTTGAACAAACAGTGTTAGGACAACTGGATATCCACATGCAAAAGAATGAAGTTGGACCCCCTCTCTCAAACTATATACAAAAATCAACTCAAAGTGGATCAAAGACATTTCTTCAAAGAAAATACATGAAAGGCCAATAAGCACATGAAAAGGTGCTTAATGTCATCAATCCAGGAAATGCAAAGTACTGCTCCATCCCCACTATGGTAGCTATAATCAAAAAGATAACAAGTGTTGTCGAGGTTGTGGAGAAATTGGAACCCTGATATATTGCTGATGGGAGTGTAAAATGATGCAGCCACTTTGGAAAACAATTTGACAGTTCCTCAAAAAATTAAGCAGAGTTACCATATAACATGGCAATTCCACTCCTAGGATATACTCAGGAGAATTGAAGGCCTATGTCTACACAAAAACTGCATATGACTATTCATAGAATTATTCATAATAACCCCAAAATGCAAACAACATAAATGTTCATCAGCTGACAAATTGGTAAATGATTCCATACAATACAGGTTTGACAGTGCCTTTCTCCTGCTTGAAAAACCTCCAGGGGCATCTTATCACCTACAGGAAAAAAAACAAGACTCTGCGAATCTGCTCTTTGCTCACCTTGCCACCCTCATCCTGCTCCTCCCTAACGTATTTCTTCTGAGTAATACCAAATCACTTGTAAATCTCCCACATATGTGTCCAGGTCTTCATGCCAGTATGCCCTCTGCTTAAAATTCTTTTTAGGTAATAAACCAATCTCCCTCTCCCTTCC